ATATATATATATATTATATATACACGTTTATACAGTGACCGAGAAGATGAAATTAAAAGTAACAATAAGCATATGAGCGTCAAGTTTATAGAAATATATACATGATAGTCGCAAGAAACAAATTGCTATGTAATGCCAAGCAGCTAAGGTAAGATAGAAATTATAATACGAGAGAAAGCCGCATAACGTATTTTTTACTTTATAAATGAAACAAACAAAAAAGAAATTAACAAAACTGTCTTCGTTGTATCAAGCCAATGATTCGATGTAGAATCGGTTGAATGTCTGATAAGGTATTTATAATGATAATAAAAAATTACAAGGTGGTCCGGGATCTCGTACACTTAATAATAATCAATTTGATTTTTTTCCACGTAATTAAAAAATTAATATTTTTGCTTGTCGTTAACGCAAGTAGTCGTGAATTATATATAATAGTACGCTTGAGAAACGAAAATCGTGCCTTTCATTTTCTAATTTTTACTAATGTGTTCTTTTACTAATAAATAAAAAAAAAATGTATCAAAGTAGCACATACATTTATAACGCGTGTACTCAAAATAACTTTAAAAATTGATTCAGTTGTCACTTTTTTTTTAAGTAATATTGTATCACTTACGAAAAGATTGTTCGATGAATTTAAGTGACGTAAAATTACTTGGAGCAAATTACTAAGTCTAAAGCTCCAAGATCAAAAGAAATGCAGAATATAGTTTGAGCGTATGGATATAGTATGTAAGAGTTCGTAAAGAAATTAATAGTAAATTTTATTTGTCCCATGAATGAATTAAGGACTTTGATAAATGTCATTGACGAACATTGTGGAGGGTTTTGTAAAAAATTTGATATTAAATAATTTTTTTTTCAGGCATGACTGATTGATAGAAGTGAGTCATTAATATTATTTGTTTATTTATTCATTTTTTGGAAATTTGATACAGTATAGAATATTAATACGAAAAAAAGAGATAAAGTTAAAAAGGCTGAAAGTATCCAAAGTTAATAGGGTACGGATAAGTCATAAGGTTGAAAAATACGCGGCAAATGATATACGCGTAGACTCGAGAACATTTTTTTATTATAGACTCTATGCCCTTTCCTCGTCCATAGGCATTAGCTCCACACAATTTATCACGCTTTTCCCTTTAAAAAGATAAAAACTGAAAGTAGCAATCCTCAAACTATAAATAAATTACCTCGAAAATAAAAATTCGATAAAGCGTTGATACGAAAAATTTTGAATAGGAACAACGTGATGTTAATGATCACTATTATTGGAAATTATAAAACGGTGGAAAACAATTTTGTATAGCATCTCGAGCTGCCTTGAACCGAAAGTGCATTATAAAAAATCGTTCAATCGACAGGTCAAGAGAGACATCTCGATCGGGTCGACAACACGAGAGTTTTTTCTACATAAAAGTAGTTTTTACATATAGTCAAGCAAATGAAAAAATTAAAAAGTACATCCACGAAACAAAGAAATAAAACAGCGATCGTAGGTTAAATAAATTACATTAATTTTAAGGCCTCACAAAGCCGTGCTTCAATTTCACTGAAGTAAAATTCGCTTCCAAATATTTTTACTCATTTTTCAAGGTATATTACTTGAATTTATATATATAAATTTTACGTATAGTGTGCTCATATTTGTCAGTTAATATTAATTTTCACGTCAAAAGTTCCTTTATGGTTATTAATGTAAGTAATAGTAAATTTTTCGTCTTATTAAAAGTACGAGTATTTTAATGGTATCTGTATCAATTAAAGTCGCACTTTGACGTCAGTCATTTCCGCCCATGTCTAAGCGTTCGATGAATTGGACGACATAAGAAAATGAATAAAAAAAATGTCATCTGATTGAAGTACGGTTTTAAACGCTTTTGTAGTACAGTTATAACTATGCGATATAATAAATAGCCCCGGGCCACCTTTTCGCTAAAAAATTTGAAGCAGAAAACAAAAATTTGCATCGAAAACATTTATATAAAAAACATTATAAAGTTTGTATGAAAATAAGAAAAAGTTTTAATATTAATGCAAATAAGTCATTAACGTGGATAAAATGATGCGAATGAAGCATTTGAGACAATTAAACGATTAAAACGTAAAACTTCGTGTTCTACTGTAAATAATTTTAAAATCAGCCATTTTTGGTGATAAAATTTATAAACAAAAACCAACAAGCTGTTTTTCTCTTTCGTACTCTTTTTTCCACGTTTCTGATAGCTAATCCTAACGATAGGTATACTAAACTAAAAATAAAACAGAAATATAATAGTACACTAATATACAAGGGATGAAAAATAAGAATCCAGTCCCAATGGTCGCAGAA